GAATTCCGGGAATTTTGGGAATGTCGGGAATTCCCGCTCCGGGAATGTCGGGAATTCCGGGAATTTTGGGAATTCCCACTCCCGGAATGTTGGGAATGTTGGGAATTCCCGCTCCAGGAATGTCGGGAATTCGGGAATGTCGGGAATTCCCGCTCCGGGAATGCTGGGAATGTTTGGAATGTTGGGAATGTCGGGAATTCTGGGAATGTTGGGAATGTCGGGAATTCCCACTCCAGGAATGTCAGGAATTTTGGGAATTCCCGCTCCAGGAATGTCGGGAATGTCGGGAATTCCTGCTCCGGGAATGCTGGGAATGTCAGGAATGTTGGGAATGTCGGGAATTCCGGGAATTTTGGGAATGTCAGGAATTCTGGGAATTTCGGGAATGTTGGCAATTCCCACTCTGGGAATGTCGGGAATGAGGCCGAATTAGGGAATTTTGGGAATTCCTGGTCCAGGAATTTTGGGAATGTTGGGAATGTTGGGAATGTTGGGAATGTTGGGAATGTCGGGAATGTCGGGAATTCCCACTCCGGGAATGTTGGGAATGTTGACAATTCCCACTTTGGGAATTTTGGGAATGTTGGGAATGAAGAGGAATGTTGGGAATGTCAGGAATTCCCGCTCTGGGAATGTTGGGAATGTCAGGAATGTTGGGAATTTGGGAATTCCGGGAATGTCAGGAATGTCGGGAATGTCGGGAATTCCCACTCTGGCAATGTCGGGAATGTTGGGAGTGCTGGGAATTTTGGGAATGTTGGGAATTTTTGGAATTTTGGGAATGTCGGGAATTCCCATTCTGGGAATGCCGGGAATTTTGGGAATGCTGGGAATTTTGTGACGTTGGGAATGTCAGGAATTCCCGCTCTGGGAATTTTGGGAATGTCGGGAATTTTGGGAATTCCCGGCTCTGGGAATTTTGGGAATGTTGGGAATTTTGGGAACGTTGGGAATTTTGGGAATTCCCGCTCTGGGAATTTTGGGAATTTGGGGAATTTTGGGAATTTTGGGAATGTTGGGAATGTCGGGAATTTTGGGAATTCCCGCTCTGGGAATGTTGGGAATGTCGGGAATGTCGGGAATTGCCGCTCTCGGGGCTCACCTGATCCTTGGTT